AATTGATGCAAGAAGATCTTCTCCAAGTCACATCATAGCCAGATTGGCCAAAACTGCAGACAAAGACAAGATAGTAAGATTGGCAAGAGAGAAACATCAAGATACTTAAAAGGTAGGACTAGCAGTTAGTGTAATGGCTATGTCGCTGGACTCCCATGTAGTAGACCGCGGTTCGCATCCCAGACCCAGTGGCTTAAACTCACGCCAGGCACGTATGCGTGCGTGCCCAAGATCCCGAGAGGAGAATGGAGGAGAAGGGATTGAGGTGTGGCCATCCCCTCTGGGGGGTGATTTCTTGCTTTCTGTCTCTCTGTCTCTCTCTGTCTGTCTGGCAAATGCATGCACCCTATAGCAAAAACCTCTCCAAAAAACAAAAAAAAAACTTAAAAGATTATCCCATCAGGCCAATGTTGGACCTTTCATCAGAAACAATGGAAGCAAGGAAAGAATGGGAAAATATATTCAAAGTGTTAAATGAAAAATGATTTCAACCAAGAATACTATACCCGGCAAGATTATCCTTCATATGGGAAGAAAAGATAAAAACATTCTCAGATAAACAAGACCTGAAAGAGTTTTCCAACACCAGACCAACTCTTCAAGAAGTTCTGAAGACAGTGTTATATCAGGAAAACTAAGAGAGACAACAACAAAACAACAACAACAACAAAAACAAAAACCCAAGAAGATGGCTGTCTTAATGGCAGGGACAAGTCCAGATATATCAATAATAATGTTGAATGTCAACTTCCAGGATTTAAACGGAAAGATCGAACCACAGTAGCACTGCAAATTCAACAGAAGAGAGAGATTAATTACATGAGACTGAGCTGGTGAAATAGAATTTTATGACTTTTGACTAAAACATAACTGATTTTCTTCTAAGTTTTGTCTTCCAGGTTTAAGGATTTTTTGGTTTCTTCATTTGAGTTGTTGATAGGTTCAGCAATTTGTTACTTTTTTTTTATTGAAACTTTTCTGTTTCTGACTTCTCTGGAATTGGAAAATATTTGTGAGCATTCTTATTTTGTGGCAGAATGGTTATTTGCCTAGGTTCAATAAAATCTATTGTCTTGCATCATAAATGGAAAATACTGGTTATTTCCAGGGCTTTGACTGGAATGTCATATCTGAAGATATGATCATAAAGCTAAGGAACTAAGATAGATCTCAAAAGAGACAACAGAAGCTCTTAGAAAGATTATCTGGTACCATAAACAGTTCTGCCTGGCAGGCACTTCCTGACAGGCCCAAAAATCTCTTAAGTACAGGTGGTCATATAGTGAATTCCTGATTTGACTCAAAAGCTTTTTAAAAGAGTCTAATTTGAAGTTTCTTATAAAAGGTTACAGCAAAGCCAACTAAATCAACTAGTATTCTTCTGGGGCTTTGTGCAAATAACAGACCAAATCTTTCACTGCATCATAGCAAGCATGGTCAGGAATCAGGCAATACCTTCTTTTTTTTTCTTTTCTTTAAATTTATTTTTTTTACATTAATTCACTATACATCATTACAACTTATATATATTTTTGTGACTAAGTAGTTTATACCTCTCTTTGGAAAAAGGGGGAATGGAGAGAAAGAAAAAAGGTTTCAGATGATTACAGTGCATTTGTTACTAGATTTTAACGTTGTCCATATCTGTTCTTTGAGTTTTTAGTATCTACTTACTGTTTGACCAGAATATGAAACTTTACCCCAGCTTTAAGTCTTTTTTTTTTTTTTTTTTTTTGGAGAGGTTTTTGCTACAGGGCGCGTGCACTTGCCAGACAGAGAGAGACAGAGAGATAGAAAGTGAGAAATCACCCCGTAGGGAGGATAGCCATGCCGCAATCCCTTCTCCTCCATTCTCCTCTTGGGATCTTGGGCACGCACGCACACGTGCCCGGGGTGAGTTTAAGCCACTGGGTCCAGGACTCGAACCGCGTTCGACTATGTGGGAGTCCAGCGATATAGCCATTACGCTAACTGCTGGTCCCGTAGTTTTAAGTCTTAAGCAAATTTTACTTAACATTTTTTATTTTTGATTTATTAAAGATAAAACTATTTTTCTAGAAATTAAAAAAATACATAAAAAACAAAAATAAATGAAAAGCATATCTACTTAATGACTACAGTAAGCTATATAGCCTCAGCTAGGTGCTACTTTATACTATGTTCATTTTACTCAGTGAGATTTATGCCTAATGTCAGACATGTGTTCATAGATTTGTTTATATCAACTGTACTTACTATTGAAAGTATTTCATTTAATTGAAATATTTTTTAAAATTTTTATTTATTTATTTTTTGGAGAGGTTTTGGCTATAGGGCGCATGCGCTTGCCAGAGAGACAGAAAGTGAGAAATCACCTTCTCGGGGGATGGCCACACTGCAATCCCTTCTCTATTCTCTTCTTGGTATCTTGGGCATGCACACACATGCGCCTGGTGTGAGTTTAAGCCACCAGGTCTGGGACTTGAACCACGGTCAATTACATGGGAGTCCAGTGACATAGTCATTATGCCAACTGCTAGTCCCTTAGTTTAATTAAAATCTTTTGTGAATCAATAAAATGTGGGAAAAAACCCCCAAACAAACAAGCATGGAAAACAACTTAGATACCAGAGACAGTGTGGGAGGAGAGTGGGAAATGGCACAGGGTGAGAGGGAGGAAACCAAGGGGAAAAATAAGAAGTGACATATATAGTGACATATATATAGAAATAAGAAATGGAAAATTATTTGTTGAAGGTAACATGTATGGTGATACACTCAATATACAGTGATACACTCAATATACAGTGTATTCTGGAGGAGAAAACTCATTTTGTGTGCTGCAATGATATATAGTGAAAGAATGTAAAATAAATAAAATATAAAAAAGAAAGATATATATTTTATAAATCAGAAAAAAAGAAGAGATCCCACTATTTTTTTTTTATGCTTTCAACATCTTTAATATATTGGATTTAGAGACCTGATTATAATTTATAAAGCAATAAATATGTTCAAGATAACATTTTCTTAATCTTTCTACTTCCTGCCAAAACCCACTTATTTGTAATGAATTACTTTAGTAAGGACTTTTTGACTATTTGTTTTTATGTAGAATCTCTAATATATGTTATGAACTGGGGTAATATGTAAAGGTATGTTTGTGGAGGCAAGTTCCCAAAGAAAGGAAAGACAGTAATTCCTGGAAATTTTAGTTCCCTGAAGAAGGAAGATTGAAAAATATTATAACTTGTGAACAAGTACAAAACAGCATGTAGTCTTTAAAATGCAAAGTAGCATAGTGTAATTTAGATGCAGATATGTTGAAAGAAACAAAATGTGGAGAGTATTCAACACTCTGCTACTTACCAGGGGTATAGAGATGAAAAAGACATAGTTTTGTCCTAAACATTCTTACAGTAACAGTTCAACTCTCTCTCTCTCTCTCTCTCTCTCTCTCTCTCTCTGTGTGTATTTTTAAATTGTCTGAGGGTTCCTGCTCTCTCCAGAGAAAGTCAGAGATGGGGCTTGGGGAGGGAGAAAGCATCCCCACAATGGGGAGTGGTCACATTACAATTCTCTCTCTTTCATTTCTCCAGCTGTTGGTATTTGGGGCACACACGCAACTGGTGTGTTTTTTCAGGTAGCCAGGCTGAAATTCAAAACACAGTTGAATATGTGGGATCTGGCTCCTTTAACCACTAGGCTATAGGCCATCCAAACAGCACATAAGTGAAGCTCAAAAATGTTACTGCATTGTTGGGAACCAGCAGTTAGCGTAATGGCTATGTCGCTGGATTCCCACGTAGCCAGGCTGAAATTCAAAACACAGTTGAATATGTGGGATCTGGCTCCTTTAACCACTAGGCTATAGGCCATCCAAACAGCACATAAGTGAAGCTCAAAAATGTTACTGCATTGTTGTGGATGCCTTTGGCATGATGTGTTGTAGATGCTACATCACCTAGCAGACTAATGCTGAAAGGAACTGAAGACAGTACCTTCATTAACCTAATTTCTAAAGAGAATATATCTGCCTCTGTTAAGACTAAAGTCATATGACTAAACTTACATGTAACAGTATTTAGCAAAAGATAATTAAATGGGGTGGGGGAGGTCCTTCAAAAAGTTCCTGGAAACTGCATGTTATGAAAAGACTACAGATTTCTAAATTGTTTGCATCATAAACTCATAGGAAATGCCCATTTTTCCAGTAACTTTCTTAAGTGCCATTTTATTTACATGGATAACCTAAAACATTTACTGGCCTGGTCTTGTAGAGATAAAATACCAAACTAGAAACTTTCCGAAGTAGGTTATCTCAACTTTGTCTGATGTAATTTCAGTGCCTCCACTAGTTTATGCCATCTTTGGCAGTCGTTCAACGTTTTTCTGACTGCAGGACTTGCGCAACTGGAAAGAGACACAAATGTGAGAGGTGAATGCTCTGCATTCTTGCTGCAAACACAGATGTTAAAGCCATAGTATACTACACGCATAAAGTGCACAAGATATGAACATAAGCCAAGTGAAGGTTTTCCTTTGAACGGCTAAGACTAAAATAATAAAGTGCTAAGTTTTGCGTTGTATGGGAATCTAGGAATGGCTTCATTAGGCAAGTGCAACCTCTCATTAAACTGTGAATATCTTTGAGAGTTTGTGTCTTTTAATTCATTAGCCTAAGTTTCTAGAACAACGTCTTCAAAGCATGTTTGTCTGATACATGAACGTCCTTGAAAGTTGTCTACTTAAAAGTCTTTGAGGACGTTAGGACCACAACTCCCAGGATGCCCTGCTCTCCTCTGGCTCTTGGCAGTTTGGCAAGAATGTCCCAGCACCCATCGCGCCAGATTAAGACTACAATTCCCACTACGCTCAGGGTCTCCGGAAACCTATCAAACACCACCTGTTGCCATAGCATCCGGGTCCGACCCAGCCAATCCAAGTGCCTCTCTCGGGTAAAGGCGGGCTATTTGCATTTCTGACCAATCTGGGGCTTTTTTGTTGTGGCGCGTGACCGGAGGAGGCGGGAGCTCAGACCGGCGCCTTCTCCTTGCTTCTTGGGGTCGTGGCCTTGCTCCCGCTGTGCGAGGGAAGTGTCCGGCGCCTCCACGCGCGTGTGTGCGCGGGGGCCCTGACGTGCTCGTGGGTCTGCGCTAGGTCTCTGCCAGGGCGGAAGCAGGAGCCATGGGCGGGACCGCCAGCACGCGCCGGGTCACCTTCGAGGCGGACGAGAATGAGAACATCACGGTGGTGAAGGGCATCCGGGTGAGTGCCAGTGAGCGGACGGAGGGCCAGCATTCGGACTCGGACCCCAAACCCCCGTACTCCCAGGGGCTGCTGAGTCTGGTTTCTCCTGTCCTGGACCCAGTCGTGTCCGGCCAGAAGCCCAGGGCTCTGGCAAGAAGCTCGGAGTGTCAAGACGAGGAAGATTCATTCAGTTAGTTCCTGGTTGTGTGCCAGGTGCTAGGCACTGAGCTGGGGAGGGTGGGGGATGCCAGGTGGACTCTCCTGGGACTCACGGTCTAGGATCATCTGTACTGCACCCTAGTTGCGGAACTTTAATTTGGAACCTCTGCCTCATTGTACCTATCTGTGAAATGGGTCTTGACTTAGCTTCCTGGGTTCAAGACCCAAACTCTGCCTTCTACTGCCCGTATCATCACTCAGGATGAATTGACATTTTAAAGAAACGCTTTTGTTTTCAGTCATTAAGCACCCCTTCCCCCAACATGCCCACGCACGAGTACACCCACATACCCACAGACCTGCCGGGGTGACTTTTGCTTCTTCCCCCTTCACTTGCACTTGATATCTCGTCTTTCCCAGTCGCCACCAGTGTGGGCTGCTTGCCTAAATTTTGGGCTAGACCCGGTTGATTCCCGGCTGGTGTCTCCAGCCTGATAGGGGCTGAGATAGGTTTGCAGTGTTTCTGTAATGTTAGTTCTGACTGAGAATTTTTTTATGCCCTCTGCATGTACTGGAAACAAACTAAAAACTTGGTTTTTCTCTAGGGTGTCATTATACCAGCACTAACTTCATTAACACATTCCTTGCTGCACCAGACTTGGGAGCCTCACATTTTTGGAAGCATGATGTCTGAACCTAGTAAATAAAGCAATTTTGACTTCAGAAAGTTTTATAATACTTCATATTTTTTTCCTCTGTTATTACACAACCAGCCTGAATAAATTAAATGTGTAAGTTCTCTTTAGCATTTGTTTTTAAGAAATAAAACTTCTTAAATACTGAAATTGTTTAAAAACATTTCTCTGAAATTGTTACCTTGAGAAGAATTTATTAAAGTTTTCCTATAGAAACTCAGACTGTTGAACTCAGTTTTTGGTCTTACCAGCATTTCTTCATAACATATTAATTAACGGTAATAGTGCAATTTGGTTTTAAAACATCTGAGACTACGTTCTTTGCATTATTGTGGTTCAATGGTTCTCTTTGGAGTAAAATAAAAATTAATATAAACTCTTGAGTTTGATGCAGAGGTATTATACATCTTGCCTTTAGGCCTTGGGTGTTCAACACCAAAGAGTGAAAAGGAATTAAAAGGAAAAGCAAAGTAAGTTTTGTGTAAGAAGATGTTGGTAGATATATGTGCTTGCGCTCGCTGGACAGAGAGACAGAAAGCGAGCAATCACTCTGCAAGGTGGGATGGCCATGCCGCAATCTCTTCTCCTCCATTTTCCTCGCAGGATTTTGGGCACACACACACGAGCCTGGTGTGAGTTCTAAGCTGCTGGGTACGGGGACTCAGTTGCGGTTAACTGTATGGGAGTCCAGTGATGTAACCATTCTGTCAACTATTGGTCCCTCAATTCAGTTCTAATCAAATGTTAGGTAAAGCTGAATAGGATAAAATGACAGTAGGGATTTGTAGTCTATTAAAAGTAGAAACAATGTCTAAAAAATACTTTTTAAAAGCAACTATGTTTCTTGGCAGCATAACTTAACAGAAGCATTCACTTTTCTTCCTTCTCCTATTACAGTTTATCTATACTGTTGCAGTTCAAGCACACACTGGGCTTGATTTGACCTCTTTGCCTTTCTTCAGAATACACCCTTCACCTGGAATGCCCTTGGACTATTCTCCAGTGCTTCACATTCCCTTTCAAGGATAATTGGCAATCTCCGAGCTTTACTTTTCTCATCAGCAAAATGGCAGGACTGAGTACATCTCTCTGATCTCTTGTCTATCGTTTCCATTTCTGAAATTCTATGATTCTAGTGGGCTTGCAAGTTTCTTGTAGTTGTACTCAGCCTATTGCGATTTCCTCTAAAACTATCGGGCTGCTAAATTGTTGAGTACTCAGGCCATTCACTCAGCCTATTGCGATTTCCTCTAAAACTATTGTGCTGCTAAATTGTTGAGTACTCAGGTCATTGTGATTTCTTTGAGGTCATTGACAAGTTGAACGCCAACTTTGGGATTAAACAGATAGTAGTATAAATCTCATGTTGGGTATTTATGAATTAGCCTAATGTTTTGCCCTGAGTGCTTGTGTGATTTTTGTTTAGGTCTTTTGTAGATATTTTTCTGTCGATATTTATTTATTTAGAATTAAACAGACCTCAGTTTAAATTTCAGTTATTTATTAGGCTGTGGCTTTGAACAAGTCACTTCTCTGATTGTATTTTCTTACCCATAAAGGGTAATATCATTACCTCCCTTGACTGGTTGTGGTAAGAAGATGAGGTAAGGTATTTAAAGCACCTGGCATATTGTATATTTTCTTTCTTTTAAAATATTAATTGTCAGAGGACACATGTGCATGCCAGAGGAAGAGAGGGGAGGCATGGTCATGCCATAATGCCTTCTTTTCCATTTCTCCACCCTATTGGGATTTTGGGCACACACACACACATACCTAATGTGTTTTTCAGGCCACTGGGACCATGATTTGAACTATGGTTGGCCATGTGCAATCTGGTTTTCTTTAACCACTTGGCTATAGGGCCTACCCACACAGTGTAGATTTTCAATAAAAGGTAGCATTCTTATATTAGGGTTCCTTTCATGTCTAAGATTCTTCGAAAGTGGGATATAGTGTAGTGGAAAGAGACCTGAATTTGGATTCTAGCTCTGTCTCTAGCTAGCTGTGGCCCTGGACAAGTCAGTCTTGGTTGTGTTTCCTTACTCAGTTTATCTGGATAATTGACCTATTTGTGAGAATTTGACATCATGTAAGTGTCCGTCCAGTGTCTAATATTGGTCAGTGTTTGCACTTATTAGTAGTGGCTGTTACTAGCAATGTTCAGGAGAATGGATACACAAACTTAATGAACTCAGAAAAATTGGTTACAAATAGGGGCATGTTGTGCTCCAAGAGGCTACCTAAAGGCTTGTAGGTTGGGAACTGGGAGTCTTGTGTGCTGCCTCGATTGCCTGTGTGATTTTTGCCTAGGCCTTTTGTAGATCCTTTTTAACTGATCTTTGTTTTTTTTTTCTTGGCGTGGAACAGTTGTCTTGTTTCATTCTGAGACACAGGGAAGGGTAAGAAATGATGTTCTCAGTATGTAAGTGAGCCATTGCGTTTTAGCTCAGTCAGTTAAAGCTAGTGCTGACGAGGCCCTAACTTTAGTTTGGAATTATAAATGTGTGAGTTCAACTTGCCAAAGAAAATTTTCAACTTTGGGGACCAGCAGTTAGTGTAATGGCTATGTCGCTGGACTCCCATGTAGTCGACCACTGTTTGAGTCCCGGACCTGGTGGCTTAAACTCACGCCGGGCGCGTGTGCATGCATGCCCAAGATCCTGAGAGGAGAATGGAGGAGAAGGGATTGCGACGTGGCCATCCCCTCTGGGGGGTGATTTCTCGCTTTCTGTCTCTCTGTCTTTCTGGCGAGCGCACACGCCCTGTAGCAAAAACCTCTCCAAAAAAAAAAAAAAAAAAAATTTCAACTTTGCCCAATTGCCTAACATGTCACAGATTGTAAGAAATGACAGTTTATCGATGATTCAACAATCACTAGAAAACCAACTCTTTATTGTTCTACTGGTAAGGATAGTAATTTCATCTTCGTTTATCTTAATTTATGAAGAATAACATTTAGGGAGCAGCGTAAGGCTTTCAGTAGTCTGAGTTTATTACTAGATCATGTTTTTCTTTATTTTTCTTACTAAGGTGCTTAAAAGGCAGCTACTTATAATTTTGAGTTTAAAGTTTCTTCTCACCTACCAGATGTTATTTTTGTATTATTTATAGGGTCTTGACTTTTTCTTTATCCTTACCAGTTGATAGCTTTTCTCTTCTCTTCCATAAAATAACCCATATTCTCATACTGTACTCTAACTTTGAATCAGAAACTACTCATATGGTTTGGATGAAAGGCCACCCTCTTGCCTTGCCCTCCTCTCGAAGTCTAAAATAAATTTCCAGTGATAGAAACACCGAGCATTTTCATTACTCATATTACAAGTGCTTAATAGGATTTTTGTGAGCACCTGCTGTTCCTGCTTGGAAGGTAAGCCTAGGACTCATTTTTTCACAAGTTTATCTGAAACATCAAAGTTGTGAGTGAACTCTTCTAGAGCAAATGTCAACTTCAATGAGTATCATTTTCAAAGTAATATTTATCATGCTTTCCAGGCATGAACGAACTCTGCAGCTGGCCTTGAAGCTGCAAGCTGAAATTCACAGAAGCCAGTTGTGACTGTATGGATATTTATATAGAACACAACTTCTGCTTTGCTTAGTGTTGGCAGTTGAGGGTTCCTAAAGGAAGAGATAACTTAATGTGGGGTGTTACCAGGATTCTGGAGAGTTCTTTTTAGCAGAGACTTTAAGTCTGGCCAGCCACTGGGAGCATTGAGGAATGTTCAGGTAATCCAGTTTACTAAAGATTGTTGGTCCTTTCGACTTCAGAGTCCACATATCTCTTGGGCAGAGTATCATGTTAAGCCTTTTAGGATTTTGTAAAGACAGAAGTTCGTGATTTCCATGGACAACTGCACAGAAACACAAGTGACAAACTGCAAACATAAGCTAAAAATTGCATGTTTTATGTGTTTCTGTGTAAGTGTATGGCACTCTGCCTTCTCCCTCATGCCCTTATGTAAGTATTTGGGATCAATCTCCCTCAAATAATAATGTCCATTTTTTTGTGGCCTATGTCTTAAAAAGGTAGTTGGAAAGTAAACCCATGTTTTCACAGAAAATGACTGATATCTCATGGAAGGAAGACTAACAGAGAAAGAGGGTCTGAGATCGTTAATACGTTTGGTAAGACATACTGGAAGAGATAAGAAAAGCTAT